TATTGACCATATCATAACAAAAACTCCCGCAGTTGATGAGTATTTCGATATATCATTTGAATTTCTAGACCGAATACATTTCGAGATATTCGACTTTAAAATGTTGTAGTCCAATAAAAAACACCCTATACTTGTGTTTAGAAATATCTCCAAATCTTGTGCCTGACATTGCGATGGAATGCAAACACCATAATGAAATGCATAAATCTTATATGTTAGCATATTTGCAGCCAGCACAAATTTTAATTTATTAATGTTGGCGCTTATTTGATTTATAATCCAAGTATTGGTCTCATTATTCAATATATCAAAGCCATTAAATTGTAATAATTGGTCGGTATTAGTGATAGGAATGACTGGTTTTACTAAACAGTATTTGCCATAAATTGTTTTGGTATTCATTTGTGGACCGCTTTTAACGGCTAAGCACTGGTCGTAATCACCGAAACTCGTGATAACGCCATCCGATAGACCCGACGGTATGCCACCCATCGAATCAAATACTGTGTGTATAAGAAATTACAGCAAATTAATTTATTTTAAATATATAATGTATAAAATAACCGGATTAAATATAACACATTATATCACCAAGCACATTTCAATGATATTTTTTTATTATAAAAATTGTATATCAGTGCTGAGCATTAGTGTAAAGTTTTAATAAGTTTAATGAAGGTATATGACGGCCCATTAAATTTTTACCCAAATACCAAGCCAAATTATGTTACAAAACATATATTTTGTTACAGTATATGTAACCAAGATTGTGTGATATGATTATTATGTAGTGTTGTACAATTGGGCCAAATAAATCTATTATGTAAATGCATTTAAAATAATTTTTAAAATTAAAAACACAATAACAAGGCACTTTTTTCAGAATTATTTTCTAAGAAAATGTAAAAATTGGCCGGAAAATGTATCTAGTCTAAAAATGTTATGCTGTGTTTTAGGTTAACTTGCAAACTCATATCGTACAATCCTATACACATTTTATGTGCAATTTATAAATTCACTGATGTTATAGTGTAGGTCAATGTATGCATAGTATAAGTATAATATTAGAAAGCATACATTTGTTTAATAAAGAGAGCAGTTTATATAATTTATACCGGCTTTTACGCTGGCTAGATTTGGTAGTAAAAAATATATGTGTAAAGTACATCTTTACTAGCTAGATAAAGTATGATGATAAATTCAAACCTTCAACTTTTAAGGTTAGCCTAAGAATATAAGGGTCGGTTTGAAATATTTTACCTGATGAGAGATTACATGTGGTTTTATGATTTCGGGTTTAAATGTACTAAATTTTTATCTAGATGAATTGAAAATTGTGATCACGTATTTATAAATGTAATTTAAACCTAAAACTTTAGTGTAATTAAAAATAGAATCGTTTTTTATTATTAAGTTGTTAATTATTCACTTAACACGAAAAATATAATATCTAAATATTGTAATGAGATGAATAATCAATTTACAAAATGTGCAAATAGCCACAAACACCGTAATTATGGTAAATTTTCTAACCATTTGCTTTATAGCATTACAATTCTGGTGACTGGCATTATAGCCAGTGGTCAATGCATTTGACTGTATATGAGCTGTATGAAAATTGGCCATAACTTGGATAATTGTAATTTAATTATGCATCTTACTACAATACATGATTATATTAAATCCGCTGGACTCGATGGCGTAATTCTATTTTTATACTTATATTTAAAAATATTAAAATGGTGATTTACTTTGATAGGCCCACAACTCATTTCGCTTTAGGGCTTCAAACCATGTGAACAATGAGTCCAAACAATCAGATGTTATATCCATTGAATACATGAATTGAAGCGCCGATGCCTTCAGTTTGTGTTTTACGGGCCGTATATTGGATTCAATACTCGTATAAAACTTATGCAAATATTTCACATTATTATTGATATCATTAAAACTTTCACTTATATTAAAATTATTCTTTAAAAGACTTTTAATTTTGTTTACAAAACTTTTATTTGTAGCATTATGTAATTTAAAAAATAAATTATTATCACAATTTATACTACAATTTTGCTGTGAATTTAATGCGAGTTCAGTTTTTGAGAGCATATGCACATTTGTATTTAACGTAGCACTAATTAATATGAACAAGATTAAAACTAAACTAAAATTTAGGCTAAAATTAAACATGTTAAATTGAATCTATTGTGGATATTATAAATAATACTTTTTCAAGTTTTTTAAAACCCTCTTAACTTTATGATAAAAAGTAAAAACTAATATGATACTTTTTAATAGGTTTATAAAGGAATTTTGAAGGTCAAGGATTTTACACCTTGGAGATTTTCATGATGATATAATATTATTTTATTATTTTATTTGTATAATGATATCATTTTTGCTAAAATTTTTGCAATTATCAAAGTACCCTAGCGCCCATTAGTGAATTGTCAAATAAATCTTGCCTATATATATGTAAATTTGAGCAAATTTTATATTAATTATAAAATAGTTGTTAATTTATTATATTGAAATATAATACTTATTATGTGTCACTATATAACAATTATTACATTGTTAAAAAACAAAATTTTGTCATTATTTATAAAGTATTTACATTAACAAATTATATAATTGTTAAAATTATAAATACACTGTACAATCCAGTAACGTGTTAATGAGATAAATAGCTAACTAGTTAAACATAATTAAACATTTCTAGATTTTAAATAAATGTAATTTAATAAAATGATATTTTTCCAGAGAGAGAGAGAGAGAGAGAGAGAGAGAGAG